GACATTTGCCATTACTCAAGGGAAGATTTGGGTGCCAAGAGAGGGTTTCATTAAAAATGGGTATAGGCTTGTAGCTTTGGTTCATGAAAGAAGAAGGTTTAAGGCTCAAAAGGGGTGAACTAGGGATCATTTCATTGGTAGGCCATGGGAATTGTTCAAATTTGGCAGTTTGAATCAAGGAGGGCCTATAATCACTTCTCAAGTCAAGTTTCACCTATGATTTCGCCTCAACAAACATTCAGGGCAAGTTCTAGACCATCGGCTAGGTACTTAGGCTCACAATTCAAATCCTCACCACACACTCAAGGATTGCTAAAGACGGAGTCGAGGGCCCACAACAACCTTAGTTACGATTCAAGCGCACAATGGCCCACATTGACCACGTGATGATTGTTTGGTCAACACAAGAGTCTCAAGGCCACGACTTTCACCATCCTAAACACAACATCATGTCTTTGACCATGGGATCAAAGGCAAGTGTGTTAGGCCCAAGTGAAGCTTTGCTTGGGGTACCCTTAACTACAAAACTTGAAAATCAAAAAGAGAAATCAAAAACGGACTCAAACCCTTAAGAAGGTTGTCACGCCATCTATCATTGGGAAGAGCCACCCGGTTCGCACAACATCTACCCTTGGAAAGAACCGTGGCATTAAGAAAACCAAGGGCTTATTGCAAACGTCAAAACAAAACATAAAGGCTGCGAGCCTAACTTTGCAACTAAAAACGAAAAATTTTAACGAAAATAGAAAACCAAGAAAGTTAAAATGAAAAACCGAATGAATATGTACAGAGGGGAAGTAGAATATACAACTGGGGATAATGAATATATACATAAAGTTGAAAAGCATCCAAAATGAAAAGTTATATACAGACCATCTATCAACTACGAATGTGCTAAATGCAAAGAGAATATATACATTCATCCAATGTATCAGGATCAAAATAGTAGGGCGCACCCCCACGAATAAAAGCTGGCATTGTCCCCAATGCCAACTACCAAAATAAGCTCAACAAAACATAGACAAAGGATATAGAAAGGCCCCTCAAGCCTGCTCCACATGCATGGTATCTCCTGTCGTCCCCGGATCCTCTGTAGTAGCCGGGACCTCAGACTGGTCTCCAACCTGCTGCTGCTCTGCTGCTGCTGGGACATGGGCTGGATCAGGGACAGGCTGAACCACTGGTGGGGCACTAGATGAACCCTCCGGAACCTGGGCCACCTCTATCACAACTCCCTCAGTGCTAGGGAGTTTCCTCTTCTTCCTCGGCTTGGGAGTATCCTCCTGCTGTGGCTGAACTGGTGCTGGATCTACAGCTGGGTCCCCAAGGAGTAAGTCAAGTGGCATCTGATCCGCTAGAAGCTTATCCACATCCTCCCTCAACTTTGTCACTGACTCCTTTGAAGCCTTTTGCTTCCTTAGCTTCCTGTGCTCCCGAGCCAGTTTACCCAATGCTGTGCTGTGTGACCCAACTGCCTTAGTCAAGGCATCCTGCGTCGCCATCATCTTTTCCTGGTTGGCCAGGATCTTCTTCAGTGTCTCCTCAATGGAAGGAGGGATCTCAACTGTGGTAGGAGCGGACTGTGCCTGGACTACAGTGGCCAAGTTTGACAACTTGGATGTCACAGATGACATCCAGTTGTTCAAACTGGCTAGAGACTGAGCAAGCTGGTGGGCAGTGAACCGGTGAGTCTTCGATAAAGGGACATCCGGGTCCGCTGAAGTAGATAGACCGGCAATAGTAGAAGGACCCGGAGGCAATGTCTCACCGGTAGCAGGGAAGGTGGAAGGCTCAGTGGACTGCTCAATAACCGCTGGCTCCTCAGACTGGCCAGGTGCGGTGGAGGTGGATGCTTGAGGTTTTTTGGACCTCTTCGGGTTGTCGGGACCAGACTGACTGTACCATGAGTAGGGGGCTACCGGATCTACCTTGACATCATACTTCTTCTTCTTCACTTCCAATTCTCTAAAGTACAGGGAAAGAGTGTTTGGGAAGGGGTAGTTGGTGTTGGTCTCCTGGCCGACCGTAGAAATCACCCTAGACATGATGTTGCCCACATTAAGAGGAAACCCAGCCATAATAGATGCCACCAAAACTGCACGGGCAATAGGAACTGTGTGATCATGGGTAGTGGGGTCAAGCCTGCTACATACGAAAGTCAACCAACCCTTGGCTTCAAAGTTGAATGTGTTTCTCAGAATCTTCTCCCCTGCTTGTAACCAAACTGGGACTGTGCCCGGGGCTGCCAAGTGCTGTGCCAACCAAGGACGAACCTCTTCTTTCATTGCCAGCTTTTCTAAGTATTGGGTTTCATCCTCTTCATTGAACCCTAAAAACTCATTCAGGGACTTCCCATCAAACATCACTACTTTGTCCCTCACTTGAGTCTCTTTTGAGTCCCTCACTATATGATGAACATTACAGTAAAACTCTTTCACCATATGTTCATTTGCGACTATGCAACGCTCCTTGAAGAAACCCCAACCCTCTCTATTACGGAATTGTGCTTGCACATGAGGGTTGACAGGAACAAGATCAGAATCAATAAACTGTCTCTTCGGAATCAATTTCCTTTTGGGCCACCACTCCCGAAATCTGTGGAAAGCTATTTTACTCACAAATCTATCAGCCCATGCTTTCGGCTTCCTTGTTCTGTCAACACCTCCAACTTGGGGCTCACCCCCCTCACCGTATCCTCCACTCTCCCCGGATAGTGAAGCTGTGGGGGAGGTGGAGTATTCTTCAGCACTCTTAGCTACGGACTTATCAGACGAGTCCGAGACTACATTTACCGGCCTTTTTGAGGTGGGCGAAGCTGATGGGGAGTCATGCAATTGAAGTGGGAGAGACATGCGAGTTGGAGCGGACTCTGAAGTGATGCTCCTTGAGGGTGCGTACTCACTCTTCGAAGAGTGGGAAGCAGCTCTATCAGCCTCCCGTATTGTCTTACGGGTCTTTTTCATATTCTCCCGAGCCTGGGGAGTGAGTCTGACAACCCGCTTCCCTTTTCCCCCGCGGGAGGAACCACCCCTCACGGGTTGTTGTTGTTATTTTCTGCCTCTTTTCTTAACCATTATCTGCAGAGAAAAGTCTAACATTGTTAGTTGAAGCACATACAGTGAATTGGATGAAACAGTAATGCACAGTGCATAGTCAAGGCTTGCAAAATAGAAGGGGCGTGGACTGCGCAAAAGTGTCACGCGGCCGCGCTGGGATGGCGCAGACCGCGTAAAACAGGAGCGCGTACCACGCTGAACATGTTCCAGTGAATCCCTCTCTGAATCTTACCAACGCGGTCCGCACTGTTTTGGACCGCGGCCGCGTTGGATGTGCGCGGACCGCACAAAAATGAACGCGGAATGCGCTTAGAAATGACTTGAAACACAACTCTCTGAACCTTGCAAGCGCGGTCCGCACTGATTTGGACCGCGGTCGCGCTGGGCTGGAGCGGACCGCGCAAAAATGCTACGCGGACCGCGCAGAAGATACTCAGCACAAACAAGAGGAAGCACGGACCACGCGGAAAGGGCGCGCGGCCGCGTAGGGCAGATATTTAACTGGGTATGGGGATTTTCATTTAAGTCCAATTTTTAGATCAAATTATGGGTCCTAATTGTCCCTACTCAGTTATTAATCAAGAATTCATGCCCATTGTTTCTCCTAAACACACAAAATCTACCCTAACAGTTAAAACTAGGAAAGAAAGAAGAAAATAAGAAGTTATACTAATAGGAAACAAATAAAAATGATCAAAAATTACTATGAATGAGATTAGTGAAGAATGTTACCAGGGATTGAGAAAGTTTTAACTACTTGAAGCAAGTTCTTTTGATGCACAGCGAAAATTTAGAGCTCAAGTAGAAAATTGGCGAAAAGGTTAAAATGAAGCCTAGGGTCCCTATTTATAGAAAACACTGTGGGACCCCTTTACTTACCCACCAGCGGGGCCGCGGAGAAATGGCCGCGGACCGCGCTGGATTTCCAGCAACCTTAATTGCCTGAGCAGCCCACGCGGACCGCGCTGTTGTGTCACGCGGCCGCGTGGGAAACTTCATAGAGCATGTTATGTAGGCTTTTCCTGCGCGGACCGCACAAAAATGGACGCGGACCGCACAACTAACTTCAGAGACTCAGTGTCCATTTCACCAGCCTGCGCGGACCGCACTGTTTTGGTGCGCGGCCGCGCAGGCAAACTTCAGAGACCTTAATTTTTATTTTTTTTACTTTTGTCCTGCACTGGTCCAACATCACCCCTGCAACATCTCACAAACCATGAGTTCAAAAATCCTAATCTACAACAGAAATTAAAAAGAAACGAAAAAACACCAATAGGGTTGCCTCCCAAGAACGCGTCTG